ACCTCATTCTGCAGTGAGTATCGGGCAATTTGGTTTTGGGAGCACCACATTCATTTGCATGCACAGTGCAGTTGGGAGAGGCCCATACTCGAAGAGTTTCAGTTGCATATGTCAGTCTCCTTCATGTATCCCAATTTTGCTACATAACTTGACCATCTAGTCAGCTAGCACATTCGCGTTGGCAGTGAGCGAATGCTACCGCAGCACCTCATAATAATAATTTTTTCCTAACACGTTTAACACTAGTTAACAGCGAACATCGCAGTGGGATGCTCCTCAACGAATTTCATGATTCGCACGTGCGTCTGAATAATGTCACCTAACCTGTGTCTTACGCCTGGCGTAGATGGGTAATCTGGAGAGACTCCCGCCTGGTGCATGCTCTGCTATTGTTCCTTGCACTGGGACACTGGACCATGTTGGCGATTGGTGCGTGCCCATCTCCAGTCTGCTCCTGCCACTCATGCCTACATTCAACCTTAGACGTGGTGAATATCAGAGCAATCAATGTGGGCCATGTTTGTGATTTGTATCTCAATCATCCGCAAATGGATGCTATAACCCTCATATACAGTGAGTCGGGTCACTATTACATCTAAACTGGCGCCGTGCTCACTCGATGTATTACAGCCATGGGCATTGACTGTCTTGTCCTGGTCCTGTTGGTTGTGGGGTTGTCAAGTCAACGATCCAAATCCCCTTTAAAGAAATGTTTACGCGTACAAGGCATCTTGTATTGTGCTGTGGCAGGCGTGTCCTATATCTCAACAGTGGTTTGTGGTCATTTCTCTCTGCCCCGCGCCGTTTTTTCAATGGTCATCATTAGGTTGTTGTTCTGCTCCATAACCCAGGTAAGACGGAAATTGTTGCTTCGGGATTTGTATGATTCAATCGTATGAATCCAGCCGTGTTTGACCTTATTTCCGACCTTGGTAAGTCAGTAACCCACGGAAATGTGCGCAAGACTCGACTCACGAGGTTCTGCAGCCGTCGTTGTAATGTACGCGTTCTTGCTAGCATCAGACTGCAAGGACCAGCTGACCTCGACACTAACTTTAGCACGATCGTATCGTCCAGAGCGGTGATATCACTGCGCTCTCTCGCTGCTTGCGGCGATTCAGAGTATGTATGACAATGAATTGGATGGCGTATGCGCTGACGCTTACTCGACGCTGGACAGCAACGTCATGTTGACCACTCAAATTACGATTCAACACACGGTATTTTAGCATCCCGAGTGAACGACAACGTGTCGTGATGGGGCTGGAAGTTGGCGTCAAGCATTGTCTCTGTACCATCGTGTAGATAAGATAGGATATACGCTTAGCTAATCAAGATATTTGACGAAACCCTCACCTTCACCTTCATTGCGTTGTGTCCTCAATCAACGATATCGATGTCGTTCCGCAAGATCGACGTCGACGCGTACGACGAAGACGTCCTTCAAGACACAGAACTCTACGCCCCCGATCCGCGCGAGCCCGCGCAAGTTCTGAGCGATACCAAGCAAAAGCAGCTTGCCGTGCGCAGTGCGTTGAACAGGTGCGTCACTCTCTTTCGCTTATGGCGAAGACTAAAACTAAACCCAACGTTGCGTCGTACGTCGTGCGCCGTTTGGGTATCTAAAGGAGTGATATTACGAGTGCGCTCACCGTCGCGCTGGAGGGTCCGCCGTATGGACCCCACGTCGAGGAAGCCAAGGTACTGTCCCCCGTCCTTGTCGCTCCTCGCTCCCCAATCCCCCCGCATTCTCATTCTCGACGCACGCCATTGACCGATACCATCTCATCCCACTTTCTCATAACCAGAACCTCGCCCTCCAAATTGTCGTCTCCGTGCTGAACAGCACCAAATCGACAGACGTCCCTGCCGTCCTCCGATCGCTCTCCCAGGACGAACAAGACACGCTGATGAAGTACATTTACAAGGGGATGGGGATGCCTGGGTGGGGCGACGTCAGCGGGAGCGTGTTGCTCGGGTGGCATGAAAAGGTACGTTGTCGGTGCGTCGTGTGCTTCCGCAACGTTGATGGCTCCGTCGGGCCGGGTAGTTGACAGAGATTGCGGGGACGGGATGTATCGTGCGCGTCATGACCGATCGCAAGACTGTATAATCATTCCTACGTTGTATCTGATTCTATCGTCTGCATCTGAAGACAGCCTGAACAAGAACGATTCTATTCTATATGCATCATAGTCTATTTATTCGGAGCATACTCTCTTATAAGGGAACCCATATGATGTCTCGCGATCATACGCTCTCCCCTTTGCTTCGCGCTTCTGCGAGGCTTAGTTCGATCGCAAGCCTCAAATCGTCGTCCATCTCGTCCGCATCCGGTACCTCGACACCGGACGCCTCCTTGTGCCGCGCGATATCTGCCGATAACAACGACATATTGGACGAGCGTGTTCTCGTCATGACAGGCGTCACCACACGCGAGCGTGGAGACGACGAACCAGGCGAGGGTGAGACGGATTTCAAAGGGATACTCCACGCTGAACGAGGCTGCTCAGGGCTCTCAGACGTTCCTCGTCTAGAACTCGACGTCGAAGACAGACTGGAACTGATGGCTGGAAAGTGGTCCAGAGAAGATGACGACGTGCTACGTGTCGCCATCGGACTCGGCTGCGCGTTCGTTCCGATTGCAAGCGATTGAAGCGGGCTGATGCTCGAGCCGGCTTCTATGGGCTCAGGGACGAATGGCGGTGACACCTGCACTTTCTCGTTTGAGATCGGGAGTGAGACGCGCGGGTATTGGCGGCCATTTACATGGTGAGTTGAAGACGACTGGAATGGTGATAATGGGGTGGACCTGGACCGAGAAGACGGCGGTGTATCAGGGAGGTCGTCGAAATCGCCCTCGAACACCCCTTCGTCGACGACCATTCTTTGCTGGCGCGCTTCCTCCTCGTCGCGCGAGAGCATCAACATGTACTCGACAGCCTCCGACTCTGAGAGACCGAGCGTGTTCAACGTAGACCTCTGCTCACGCTCCGGACCATATCTGCGCTGGGCATGCGCTCTGTCGTACTCAAGTTCCATGTAGGACTCGGCTATATCCTTGTACATCTCGTATTGTTCTAAAATGCGGGTCAGAGCGTGAGTCGGAAACAAGTACAGGGAGACTTACGTTGTCCCTTTGTGGTGACATTGAGCTTGGTATTGGCATGTTTGGGCTTCTTGTGTCGGAGCTCGCGGCCGTCGGTTGATCCAACCTTCCACGTCATTACGCGGTTCCCGACGACGACAAGCACGAGTTCCTCGTTCAGCAAGATTCGACTGACAGCATCCCAATCGTCTCCCGGTGCTGGGCGAGGCGCTGGGGTGGAAATGCAACGCATGTCCTCTAAAGTGAGGGGTTCCCACACGGCGGTGGTACCGATAGCAGTACCGGTAGCAAGGAGAGTAGGGCTATATGATATAGCCGTCACTGCATCTGAGTGTGCCTCGAACCTATGAACGGGTGCGGCAGGGTCTTGCGGAGGAGCGTCGACATCATAGATGCTAACGAAACCAAGTTGATCACCGACGATGACCATGTTATTTTCGCGAAGACTTGTCGAGAAGACGGGCTCAAGGGCAGTGACATTTCCAAAAGAACTATCGCCAAAGGAGGTGGTTGTCAGGTCATGGGATCGAATGTCTACATGGACGCGATAGAAGTGTGGATGATGCGTGTACTGAACAAGGAGTAGCACGGTTGAGGTTGAGTCTCCCACGCGGTGTAACCACAACTTGGCAATCTGCGGTTCTGGCAACGGTTCATCCCCTCGGAGGGTCGGCCGAGATTTCTCCCGGTGCATGGGAGAAGAAACCCGGAGTTGGTGCATGGAATGGACACGACGTCCACCAGAGGGAGTCTCGGACTCGTGTAGGTCATAGATAAGGATATCCCCGCTCTTGAGCGCAGCAGCGATAAAGCCATCGCTGAGGCAACCAGTAATACTGATAAACGGGTCCGTGACGAGAGACAGCTGTTGCTTATCGGTAGACCAGAGGAGCCGAAGCGTCTTGGTGTCCCAAAGCTTGATGCGCCCATCGGCGCCAGCGGACAAGAACGAGTTTGAACTGGAATCAGCGACGAGCTGTTGCACAGCGCCCTCGTGCTGATCGTTGACGCTGCATTGGATAAAGTTGGATGCAGCGCGAGAGTCCATGACACGCTTCGCGACTGTGAGCGCGACTTCACCGTTGCGCTTTCCCCAAAAGACGCGGGCAGTGCCGCCATCGGAGGATATTGTGCATGCAGAGATATTGGGAGTAAATTCGGCGTTGGGATTCCCGATACCTAGTCCGGTTCCGGAGGAGTCAATATAGCCTTTCAACAGCTTGCCGTTGAAAGGGATCGAGCGGGCGACAATGCCGGACTGGATAGACGATGTCAAGAGGGCATTATCGGACATGAGATGAACCGCATCGATGGTCGATTCCTGAGGTTCATAGGTGACGGTCGAACTGCGGGAGCTTGTCCAACGTCTGGGATGCGAATAAGTGCGATACGGTCGATCGGAGTGAGAGGAACGCACTGGTTAGTTGTGTAGCGGTGAATGAATTCTTTGCGCCAGGTGTTCTCTGTGCGCCTCAAGAGCAAGCTGTGTTTCTTGTCGAGGTGATGCTCGGGGCCGATGCCGAAGAACTGGGTGAGAAAGGCGCGGAGCCAGGTGTTGTCGTCGTCTACGTGTTGGCAGAGGCGCCTGCAGGTGCGGGCGAGAGCGAGGAGAGAGGGGAGGGGGAGGTAGGAGGAGATGTGGGTGAGAGACTCTTTGGGAAGGTCGAGCAGAAGAGAGCCATGTTGGAGATGTTGGTCTGTGGTCGTTTGCGAAGACTTGTTGTTACGAGCGGATACTTTGGAATGAAATTGTGTAGGTCGAGTTGGCATATAATGGCAGAAAAGTTCGCAAAATCAGAGGCGATCGCAGACAAACTGAATGTCGCCTGCGAGGGAGTGGAGGAAGGAAGGAACACTTCTTATGGTAACCAGAAAAAAAAAAGCATACTCAAGGTCTTGCCAGGACTCGAACCTGGGTTTTGGGAAGATTATCTTCAGAATCCCAAGTGATAACCGCTACACTACAAGACCATGAATGAAAGAGAGCAAGTGATCATTGTTGTCGAATCACACGCCTTCTCAACCGCTCTCATGTCTACCCAACTATACGGACAGCCCTTCACATCCACACGCGAAAGCATCGCTTGGATACCTTCGCCAGCATTCGAAGACTCTGACGTCCTCGTCCTGTCTTCTCGCTCAACATCGCCAGGAGATGTCGGTGCCACGCTCTTTTACCTCGATCTGCGTCTCTCCCTTCCGTTGAGCAGATTGAGCAACATCAACTGGGGCTTTGCAGGTCTCCGTCACACACTGTCTGCATCGCCTCTCCGACTCCAGTGGGGCCACAGTACCATCGACTCGCGTGGCGACGGACTGGTGGACGAGGGCGAGATGATACATCGCGATGGGGTAGAGATCGAGACTGGTATCGGACTCAATCCTGCGACGGGCCAAAAAGGAGCGTACGAGGAAATATGGCGGTAAGACTGCACGCTATATGCATCTTATGAAGTCCAACGGTTAACCCCTTGATCTCGGACGCGCAGGGATGAATCACTCCCTGTAGGATCTCCGTTCATCTTTGTGTCTTCGTCCGCAAGCGTGGAAGAAGCTACTGCCGTTATGGCGGTGTTGGGACCTCATGCCCTTGCGCTCGCACAGGAACCCGAGGGCCTAGACACATCTCGAAAATTTCAGGCTGTGCGTATGCATCGGCGGACAAGTGCTGCTCAAGACATGGAGGAAGTCAAATGGGAAATTGTATTCTCTACTGGTAGTTCCGCGCAAGAACGAGAGCTAGAGGAACTCGTTGGGCTCGCGGATCAAACGTGTCAGCATGTTCGAGGTAGCAACGTCTGTTTAGGAACTAGATCTTGGGTTGTCTGGGACTCTGGAACAGCCCGGGATGATACGTGAATAAGAATCCATTCCGTAGGATACGGCGAGTGCAGAGGAGTTTTATGTAATAAATTTCTTCGCATGCTTGATTGTGAAACTGGTCGCGCTCTCTCCCCGTTCATCAATATGGAACCGAACACCGGATCAGCACGTGTTGATTGCAATAAGGTAGATTCGCCAGCTTGTTGACAGGGACAAAGTGCAAACAGATACAACGAAATGCTTCTAATTAGACTCTCCATTTGGGCCGACCGGCGTCTCCCTTTCTTCCTCTCCACCGTCGAGTCTAAACCAAATGGAACCTAATCTCGCTCTCGAGTACATCATCACCCACGTCTTCTGTCCCCCACGTCTCCCCTGTGCAGATGTCCATTCTTCCTCCAACGACCAAGCACTCGTCAACGCAGTTGTCCATGCCGCCCACGCATATACGCGCGTCGTCGCCATCCCTGGTCAATCCGAATGGTATTTCATTATAAAAATGCTGCAAAACCTCGGCGCGACCGTCCAGTCTGCAAAGCTCGACAGGAATCGCGTCGTATCTCAGCTCAGTACCATGCAGCACGGAGGTACGCGTTCAACGCTTGTTACGCGTCGCATGGCCGCTGATGATACGTAGACGTCCTCGCATTCTTCATTCGCGCCCAGAACGCGGGCGTTTTGTTTAAAAAGCAAAGCGATGTTACCATCTATACGGCCTTTGAGGTATCCCCGCAAGCAACTTCTGTCATTATGGCGCGCGGAAAGCTTCTATGCTCGTACCCTGGTCCAGCCATCGACATTCCCAACAACGTCTTTGATCATGCTGACTTCCGGTCTCATCTCGCCAACTTCCTCGTGTGCATGAATGAAGACGTGTTAGATACAAACACGGGGACCCTCTGCACGGAGCAAAACGCCTTTGAACATCGAGACACCACCGACCCGCGCCACATCACAGAGCTACTTACCGGTATCTTGCGGGGGGTTGGACGCTCAGCTACCAGTGTTGTTCGCATCACCAAACGAATTGGCGACGACGTTGTTGTCTCGGGCAATTCATCGCTCCCTTGGCGTCGCTCGTCGCTGTGGCTCCTCGTCAGAGTTGCAATTCAGACATCCCTAGAATCGTCTCCGCAGGGCCACGACTCCTACAAAGCCTTCATCATCTTTTTCCTCGCCAGACTTGCAGAGGAAGCGATCCGGGAAGACCTTCCCAACGATCGGCTCTATTTTGCGTCAACCAAAATTAGTCGGCGATTGAGGAAGCTCGGCCCTCTCGCGCCTGGTTGGCTCACGAAAGCAGCCCTTGAGACCTGTAATCGCGTTCGACAGGTTCTCGATGACAGGTGGGAACAGGTACAAGCTGCCCAACGCGCGTCTCCATCCCATGCGTTCTCAATGCTCGATCTTAATCACGACGTTCAACTTTCGCTCTCGTGCAGTCGCGAATACCTCGCAAAGTGCCTACTTAATAGGGATACTGTTCCCGCTGTCCCCTTCCACCCCGAACACCGTCCTCGAGGTGCTCTTGATGACTTTCTGTCTTCTGATGGAGCCTTTTTCACGAAAGCATTCCGGACTGAACCTCTTGTCGCCCTCTACGACGTTGAATGTGCGGTAGAGCAGGGCATTGATGCCTGGGTTGACAGCGTCACGGATGCTGGCGAAGCTTGTGTCAAGTTGGATGCTTTAGCCGACAAGTATTCTTCCGCCGCGCTGAAAACGTACGCGAACAATCCAGAACAACTTTCTATCATGCTGTTGACCACGATCGAGCTTTGGATTGCGCTTGACAAGCTGACTCTGGCCGAAATTCCCATGCTCAACGAGTACAACCCGGAGATCCCACGACCTCTATTGGAAAAACTGCTCCTTCGAAAAGCTAGCAGTATTCGTCGGCTTCACCAAGCGCACAGATACATCTCTCGTCGCCACTCTCGAACTGATTCAGGGCCAGAATCTTCCGTCTTCTCTCCAGCGATCTCGGAGGAGACTTTTGCAGTGCGCTATTATAACCAATCATCATCGCTCCAGAACTTGAGAGGTCGGATTGAAGGAGCTGCGCAGCGAGCGGTAGACAAGAAAAACCAGGAGCTCGAAACGGCCAACAAGCAGTACACCGAGGTCAAGCTCGAAGCGGACGGAATCGATCACAGATATGATATTCTGGATGGAAATCCATACCACTCGCCATTCTGCCGCAAGTGCGACCTCGAGGAAAAGCTCAATTCGATGGACTTTGATGTCTACGAATGGCCTCTCCCGGACGATAACCTTCGCGCAGTAGTCGTTGTGTTCGAACTTGCCTGTCCCTTGACTTTTAGCATGTGGCGCTCTGCCACGTGCCGACTCTTAGTTGGCCTTTGTTCCCAACGCCCCCGTGGAAAAAGGCCCTATCTCCTCGGCGACTATCCTGCACTAAAACGCTATTTCGTGCAGCATCCAAGATCTCGCATTACCCTAGCGTCGAGTTCGCGACCAGTCGAACGCAACGCAATCTCCATCCCAGCGACGGAAGACCAGATTTGTATTAGAAACAGTCTCGAATTTTTCGGTTTTGATACCTGTGAGGGTATTCCTGTCGCAAATGCCTTTGGCAAAGTCGATATCAAGCGGTACTGCACGTACGAACTCCAGAAAGGTCCATATTTTAATCTTCAGCAATACGTTGATGGCACCATCCACTCCCCGAATGATGTCATAGCGGGCCAAGCTGATTGTCCCAAGGATATCTCGAGACAAGAGTTTCTGGCGTTCGGTCATTTGCGCAGCGGCGGGTCTCTCCAATGGCTCAATATCCTACGAGAGCTTCGCGACCGCTCGCTTAGCTTCCGATGCCCTGAAGTTCATCTGTTGGTAGCTCAGGCGATCATGCAAGTGGGACCGCTTTCAAGTACGGAGTTGAAGTGGCACATAGAACTTCAAGAGGACACCTTTTGTCATGCGCTGGTCGACGAGCTCGAAAGCCTCGTTGCGGATGTCGAGGCCAACTGGTTGGAAGGGGTGACAATGAATACCGTTTCTTTGTTGCTCAGTCGACTACTTTCGGCCAACCCCGATGAAGCGGTTTCGGAGAGAGTTATTCAGCTTCTTCGCAATGTGCGCATGAAGACATTTTCGTGGGTCCGGGAGCTATCAGACAAACTCACAAGAACACCGGGGGATGAAGAACTCTGCGGGCTTTTGCGGGATACTGCCGCCATTTCCCGCAGCACATTTGATGTCGAACCAGCTATGGTTGAACAGCTCCTCAACTCTGCCGAGGATGTCGAAGCCTTTCTTTCCTGCGCGATACTGATCCATGACAACACACCCACCAATGTCTTGGCCCTCCCTGCATACTCGCAATTACTTCTCGACCGAGATCGCCGCCTGTCCTTGGCGCTTGAGAACATCCTAAGTGACGTCATGCAAGCTGACTGGAGCGACCGTGGCGTCGACCTCGCGGTCGGTAGAGTTTGGCCAGACTACCGCCCAGGTTCACAGTGGAGTCCCCTTCCGGATCCGAATTCACGCTTTATCTCATGTACGACGGCTTCGACGACAAGCCAATGCTCGCAAACTGTCCATTTTAACTTGCTTGATGGGACGCTGTTGGTGGATGGGAAACCGCTCAGTAGATTGCCGAGTGCGATCGTACAGCACCCGCTATATATCCTTATCTTTGGCGAGGTAGGTATCACGCTGCTCGACATGACAAGTTGCTGAGTGTCTCCACAGCAAGTACTTGATGTTATACCAGGCGATCTCCCGGGAATGGATTACTCGACACGTGGCATGATCTCCGGACACCGGGTGAGTCCGGTTGAAGTGTAGCACATAGTCTTGAGATCTCAGGTCGCACTTCCAGGTATATTTTTCTCTCCGAGACAAGGTCCTCGTGATACGAGCGAAACGAACGGCTGCAGGCCGATCAGAAATCATCCAGCTCATTCCTCGAGAGAAGCTTGAGAACGACTTTCCCGTGATCTTGCTCCAGGGTCACATTCACTGGCTCAACTTCTCCACGTCCGTCATGGACTTTCGCCCTATCGACAAGACCTGGGAGAGCTCGTCAGAAAATTGGAGTGTTGATTGTACACCTGGGCAATATCGCATGTACAAAGGCCGCGAGTTTCTCGTAGACGTCCGAAGCCCGTCTTGGACTA